TGCCCCCTGCATGCCCACACTGGGGATTGAGCCCTCAACCCAGGCATGTGCCCTAACAAGGAATTAAACCAGCGACCTCTTGGTCATGTGTCTGTGCTCAACCACTGAGACATGCCAGCTGGGCTATTTATTTTTTTAAAATTATGAGTGTTTATATTGCTGTTAGAAGCAGTAAAAAGCAAAAAAAATTTAAAGAGATACTTTTCTTCTATGCTAGTGTTAGATATAGCTGGGTGAGACTTTTTTCTTCTTATTTTAAATGTATTTTAATAGCAAACTTACAGAAACAGCACAGAAGACAGACAACATTAAAATATGTACTTGCATATAGGACAACTCATTTAGAAAAGTATAGTGAATGGATGGAATCTACTTTATGATAAAAATGCTACAAATACTATTTAGTTGCCATCAGTAAGAAATTTACTTATTTTTAAAAAAATCAAAATGCTGGCATTGTCCTGAAAAATCTAACAGGTTTATTTGTATTGTTATAAAGTTGAACTGCTGAAACTTACTCCCCAAAACATTTTGACTTGTGTTAATGCCTTATGTTCCTGCAGTTATATTAAAAAAATTCACACACAAATGAAAATGGAAAAACTGCCAATACCTGATTTCTGCCCCCTATTTTCAACTTGCAATCATATCCTTAGGTACCTTTTGACCCCATGGAAAAAAAATATCTAACGTTCAGAACTACCAATAACAGGAAGCAGAGAATTTTTTTTTAAAGAATGAAATGTTTCCCATCAGTGGATTATTAAGCACGTTCTCCATGTATGTGGCGTGCCAGCTGGATGTCTTTTGGCATAATTGTTACACGTTTGGCATGGATAGCAACACAGGTTAGTGTCTTCAAAAAGGCCAACCAGATAGGCCTCACTTGCCTCCCTGCAAAGCACCAGTAGCTGCACTCTGGAAGCGCAGATCTGTTTTGAAGTCCTGAGCAATTTCTTGCACCAGACGCTGGAAGGGAAGTTTGCGAATCAGAAGTTCAGTGGACTTCTGATAACTTCTAATTTCATGAAGTGCCACAGTACCAGGCCTGTAACGATAAGGTTTCTTTACCCCTCCAGTAGAGGGCGCACTCTTGCGAGCCGCTTTGGTAGCCAGTTGTTTCCTCGGTGCTTTACCACCGATGGATTTGCGGGCAGTCTGCTTTGTAGGAGTCATGGTATAGAGACCTCTTTATTTACCCTCCATTCTCCTTCGGCTGGAGCTCAGTGAGCTGGAAGCGGGGTAGGTGTTCATTTATATTATTGCTATTAATGAAAAACTGAGTATAGAATAAAGGTATCCTAATTTCCAGAGTGTAATGCCTTACACTATACCTTAATATCCTCCTCTGTTTATTGTACCAATAGGTTTTATTCAGTGTAGTTCATACTGGAGAGTAATTTTTATCCTTTAACTTGAAAGGGATTTTATTGAAATGTTGAAATGGAATTTTATTAGTACAATATGAATTAAAGGAGGAAGTTTTTGATTTGTGACTTCTGGAAATCCACATTTTTCCAGCTTCACTGCACTTTGCAAAAACATCATCTGGCCCTAGCTGGTTTGGGGCGGACCAAAGAGTCTCGGGTTTGATTCCGACCAAGGGCATGTACCTCGGTTGCAGTTTGTCCCCAGCCCTGGTTGGGGTCGTGCAGGTAGCAACCAATCGATGTGCCTCTCTCACATCGATGTTTCTCTGTCTCTCTTCCTCCCTCTCTCCCCCTCTATTTGAAGGTAAATGGAAAAATATCCTTGAGTGAGGATTAAAAAACAAAACAAAAACATTATCTGCCAGGTAGCTCTCAATTTTCTAATGCTATGAAAACTTTGGAAAAACTTGTATGTCTAAAGTTTATTTGAATTGTCATGAGTTTTGGGAATAGTTAATAAAAAGACTGTTTTTCAGTTCTGACTTGAAGAGTATGCATGCTTTTATTTTTGTGTGCATAAAGGAAAGGAGTTATAAGGAACGTGAGATATATAATGGCTTATGATTGATACACCTGAAAGAGAAGCAAGTTGGTAAAAATTTTCTAGAAAATTATAGACAAAGGAGGTAAAACCAAAGGGGCATTTTTATCCTGACCAGGTCTTCATGAGGAGCATTTGTACCAAGATTCTTCCGTGTTGCTTGAGGTGATGCTCAGTAGATCATCGTGGGACATTATGGAGTGATGTTTTCATCTGTGGCCAGTTGCTTTTTATCTCCAGCTTGCCTTTTGTTTAATGTGTTTTCAAGCACCTACATGTAACATCTTTATTACATTTTCTTTGCCAGTTTAATTATTGTTATAATTATCATTGTTATTTTAAAATATATTTTAAAAATATGTTTTTAGCCCTGGCCAGTTTGGCCCAGCAGTTAGAGCATTGGCTTGTGGTCCAGAGAGACCTGGGTTCGATTCCCGCTAAGGGCACATACCTCGGTTGCAGATTGTCCCCGGCCCTGGTTGAGTTGTGTGGGTGCAGCCACTTGGTGTGTCCCTTTCATGTCGATGTTTCTCTCTCTCTTCCTCTCTTTCCCTCCTACTCTATCTGAACAAAAAGTGGAAAAATGTCCTCGGGTAAGGATAAAAAAAGAAAAATGTTTTTATTGATTTTAGAGAGGAAGGAAGAGGGAGAGAGAGAAACAGTGATGTGAGAGAAACATCAATCAGTTGCCTCCTGCATGTACCCCTTCCGGGGACGGTTCTGACCAGGAATTAAACCAGTGACCTTTTGGTGCACAGGAAGATGCTCAGCCAACTGAGTCACACCAGCCAGGGCCCAGTTTAATTATTTTAACACTGCTGTGACAGACAGTTTGGGAAGTTATAGTGAATTTTACATATTAAATAAATGGAAAAGGATGAAGACCTTGAATCAGATTTGTTCTTTGTCAACTAAACTACTGTTTTTTCAGTAAGTCTCAAATTTTGTATCCTTTTTCTTGTATTTGTGCTTTGCTGCTAAGCATGTTAAAACTGGGAGGGAAAACAAAACAACATTGAGAAAATTTGGGTGTCTAAAGATGCAGCCTTGTGTGAAAGTATTGATCATCAAGCTATATAGAAAGAAAATATGTTGCCCTGGTTGATTTGGTTCAGTGGTTAGAGCATTGGCCTGCAGTCCAGAGAGACCCGGGTTCGGTTCCCGCTAAGGGCATGTACCTTGGTTGCAGTTTGTCCCCGGACCTGGTTGGGTCGTGTGGGTGGCAGCCACTCGATGATGTGTCCCTTTCACGTCGATGTTTCTCTCTCTCTCTCTTCCTCTCTCTCCCTCCCCCTCTATCTGAACAGAAAAATGGAAAAATGTTCTCGGGTGAGGATTAAAAAAGATAATGTGTTAACTTTCTCTTCTGTAATAAACTCACTTGTATTTATGTGTTCCACATGTGTTTGGATGGTGAGCATCTTCAAAAAAGCAACTTTGAGTATCAGTTTGTTATATAATAGGATGCCTTAGTCCTAAAAGCTGACTTGTTCTCTGAAGAAAGAATGTCTTCCTAACCTTCCCATACCAGTGTTTCTCAGTGTGTCTGGCAGATGCCTTACTTTCTGATCTCCTTGGGTGCCTATAACAAAATGAGGGTTCCTAGGCCTCACCCTAGGAATTCTTACAAAGCAGAATCTCTGGATGTAAGGCACAGAAATCTTTATTTTAAATGTTTCCTCTAGGTTATGTTTAATCACTCTAAAGTTTAAGAACTAGAACTTCTTTAGGAAGTAAATTCTGTATAAGTTGCAGTATTAGACATTAATAAGATTCGCTCTGGCTACAATTCTGTGTATGTTTTGTTTCTGGCAAAGAATAATCAGTTTTTCCTCCCAAGCTCAGTTGTAACCATCCCATGCTGTCTGATTAGGGTAGGGTTCTGGGATCCTTATATGCCCATGTGTTTTGCTGGTTATATTATATGTAATCAGGTAACTGCTTTTATTATTTACACACACCCCTTCTCACCATTAGTTAGGAATTAATGAGGTAACTGAAGATAGCATTTTACTGAAATGGCTTCTGAGTTTTTTGAGAGTTACTTCAGAATAATAAACAGTACTTTTACCAGCATTTTTGAGTGATTTGTTGAAAGTTATTTCTGGCTTTCTCCATAAACTTCATGGTGAAGAGGGCTGTGTTGGGCCCTAGCAAGTGTCAGAATGTTCTCGTCCAGCAGCTGGCTCCCTCCAACCCCCATTTCCCACTTCCCCTCCTCCCTCCTTTTTAAACTTGGGGCATTCATGATGGGATTAAAGATTTGTTCCACTCTGATTTTTAGGAAAATTCTACCTCATTGTTAAACTCAGAAAAGTCACTGGCTGCATTTATTAATTGGATTACAAATAGTTTATTATAAAGCTACGTTTGTTGTTTTTTTTTCCTCTCTGAAGGAATGTGTAAAACAGGATGTGTAATTTTTATAATGAATATTTTTTAGAATGGGGGGAGGCTGGCAATTATTTAACTCTTTGGGCATACCTATGGGTTTCCCTTTTTATGATGCCCTGTAAAGAATATTATCTCATTGAAGAAGAAATTATTTATATTTTATAAAACCCATGATAGACTTTGTCTTTGCCTGGGGAAAGGATATATGTATTCCCTAGGGATTGATTAGACCCGTGCTGTCCTATACGATAGCCATTACCCATGTGTGACCATTTAAATTTAAATTAATTAAAAGTAAATAAAAATTTAAAAATTTAGTTTGGTTGAACTAGCCACATTTCAAGTACTCATTAGCCATATGTCACAAATGATTACTGGATCGGGCAGTGGTAATACAGAAAATTTTTACCATTGCTGAAAGTTCTCTTGAACAGTGCACTACTAGACTGGCCACTTTAAAAAGAGAAAGAGGCAAATGAAAGAGCAAAATAATGAAGACCCGAATTTTTACCCTTCCTTCCACAGTGTGACATTTCCTGTCTTCTTGTACCCTTGATTATAATTCAGAAAAAGGTCTGGTTTTTTGAGTATCTTCACTTTGACCTTGTTTTTTAATGTTTATTTCTGTTTCCCAGGCTGGCAGTGATGGTGAAAGCATAGGAAACTGCCCCTTTTCCCAGAGGCTCTTCATGATTCTTTGGCTCAAAGGAGTTGTATTTAGTGTCACAACTGTTGACCTGAAAAGGTAAGACTTGGTTGCAGTTTGGAGTTAACTTAATTTGTGTATATACCTTACTGTTTCACTTTGTTCCTGTCCCCATCCCTCACTTTGCTTACCATATGTTCTCTAAAGAAAATATATTGTATTAAAGTTCAGCTGATGTATGAACAATATTCACTTGTATTAAGTGTTATGGTAATTCACAATATCAGTAAATTGCATGTGGCCCCTCAGTCTGTTTAGGAACTTACTGTATGTTTACCTTAAATTTCAAGAGCAACACCAGGAGCTGAGTTTTAGTGTGGATGCAGTGAAATCTTTGCCTTTCCTGTGTAAACATCGACCTATGAAAAACTTTTTTTTAAATCCTCACCTGAGGATATTTTTCTATTTATCTTCAGATAGAGTGGGAGGAAGAGAGAGAGAAACATGGACACGTCGACTGGTTGCCTCTTGCACGACCCCAACAGGGCCAGGGATGAATCAAAACCGAGGTACATACCCTTGGCCAGAATCAAACCCAAGATTCAACCGGCCAGGGACAGAGCTGTGATCTTATTTCCAGTTCTAGGTTACCATTCCCTGGGACCGCTGTTCGTTCCCTATAGTTTATTCTTTACTTACTGCTAGTGCACTTATTTGAAATTTTGCAGACTTATAATTTATTTCTTGAAAATAAGCCGTGAAATCTTCCAGGAATCCCATTAGTTATGTATATGAATGTAGAAGCCTTTGGAGATAGTAAGAGTTAAAACTACAGGCTCTTTTGAAGACATACCTAGCTCATATCAGACAGGGCTGTTGTAAGAATGAAATAATTCATGTAGTTATCCTTCAATTGCTGTTTTTTTCCTACAAGCATTCACAAAGGAAGTTTCCCAATATAACTTCTAAGAATAGACCATGCTGCCAGGCACACACCCTTACTGTGTCTTAAAATACATGTATTTATCCTATTCCATATTTGGGTTGGAGCAAGTGAGTTGACTGCCATGCTTCCAAAAAGCCTTTCAACAGCTCAGTACAGTGCTTGATTGTGGTACATACCAGTAGTGGTGCCATAAATGATGGCAGTCTGGTTCAAAAAAGGAAGTTAACACATAATGACTATTTCAGAGTCATCAGTTTCACTTTTCATTTGCAAACTTTTTTAAGGCCTTATTCCTGTAAGTTGGTTGATATTTGAACATTTGTATACGTTTAAGGGTAATGTACCCTACATGCCAAAAGTGACTCTTGGGCCCTGGCTGGTGTCACTCACTTAGTTGGAGCATTGTCCCATACACGGAAAGGTGGCAGGTTCAGTTCCCAGTCAGGGCACATACCCAGGTTGTGGGTTCAATCCATGGTCTGGGTATGCATGGGAAGGCAACCTATCAGTGTTTCTCTCTCTCTCTCTCTCTCTGTCTCTCTCTCTCTCCCTCCCCCTCTAGTCAATTTTTAAAAAGTGACACATGGGAAGTACAATGAAAGATTCAGGGCCTTTTATTAGAAAATACCACCACTCAAAGAAGTGTATGTTTATTTCCTAGGGCTTTGTGTAAAATCAACAGAGAACATTAACATGGGAGCCTATATGTTGTAGTTTTCTTTAGAAATCTTAGGTCTACAGTTTATTTATTTGTTTGTTTGTTTGTTTGTTTTGTTAATCTTCACTTGAGGATCTTTTTCCATTGATTTTTAGAGAGAGTGGAGAGGGAAAGTGAGAGAGAGAAAGAGTGCACAAGAGAGAGAGAGTGAGAGAGAAATATCGATGTGAGAAAGACACATTGACTGGTTGCCTCCTGCAACCCCAAAAGGGGCTGGTGATCAAATCTGCAACCTAGGTACGTGCCCTTGACTGGAATTGTGCTCTTGACCAGAAACGAACCCTAGACCCTTTGGTCCGCAGTCTGATGCTCAAACTGCTGAGCCAAACTAGCCAGGGCTCCTTCTAATTATTTTCTATGAGTTTAGTCACTTATATAGTCTTTAGTTAGATTTCACAGAGAAGGTGGAAGTGACCATTGGCTAAGAAAAGAACAGTATAAAATAAAAGTTGTCACAGAAAAATAAAACATCCTGTAGTAAAAAGGGCCTTTCATAATACAGTCTTTTTTTTTTTTTTTTTATCCTCACCCGAGGACATTTTTCCATTTTTTGTTCAGGTAGAGTGGGAGGGAGAGAGAGGAACAGAGAGAGAGGAGAGAAACATCGATGTGAAAGGGACACATCGAGTGGCTGCCACCCGCACGACCAACCAGGGTCGGGGACAAACTGCAACCGAGGTACGTGCCCTTAGCGGGAACCGAACCCGGGTCTCTCCAGACCGCAGGCCGACGCTCTAAATGCTGAGCCAAACCGGCTAGGGCTCATAATACAGTCTTTATGACTGTTTTTAGAAGCTGTGTAGGAGAAAATACCTATAGTGCTTATTTTCCTGCTTTTCCTGATAATTGCCTAATTCCTCAGTGAAAAGTACTGATCCCAGAAGAAACTGGTGGTGAGCAACAGAACTCTCCTGAGAGCTATTTAGAAACCCACTCTGTGTTCTGAAAAAATTGTTACATGACATTTCATCCATAAAAGCAAGCCAGTTCTGGCACTGTGTGACATGTTCTCTTTGACTCTCAATTGGTGTTAATGACTATGCTGGTGGTATTCATGTGCCCCTATGAAACTTGGAACAATATCCCATTGCTTGCCTGCCAGTGCTGTCTTAATGCTTTAATGGAGTCATTTCTAAACCTAATTTTCTGTTCATGCTACAACTGCATTACAGAACTTTTGGATTTATTTGTTTTTGTTTTTTTTTATCCTCACCTGAGGACATTTTTCCATTTTTTGTTCAGATAGAGCGGGAGGGAGAGAGAGGAAGAGAGAGAGAGAGAAACATCGATGTGAAAGGACACATCGAGTGGCTGCCACCCGCACGACCAACCAGGGCCGGGGACAAACTGCAACTGAGGTACGTGCTCTTAGCGGGAACCGAACCCGGGTCTCTCTGTATCGCAGGCCGACGCTCCAACCGCTGAGCCAAACCGGCCAGGGCAGAACTTTTTTTTTTTTTTTTTTTTTTTATCCTCACCCGAGGATATTTTTCCATTTTTTGTACAGATAGAGTGGGAGGGAGAGAGAGGAAGGGAGAGAGAGAGAGAAACATCGACGTGAAGGGACACATCGAGTGGTTGCCACCCGCACAACCAACCAGGGCCGGGGACAAACTGCAACCAAAGTACGTGCCCTTAGCGGGAACCGAACCCGGGTCTCTCTGGACCGCAGGCCGACGCTCTAACCGCTGAGCCAAACTGGCCAGGGCCAGGGCAGAACTTTTGGATTTAAAAGTGCCCAAGCTTCAGAAGAAATTTGTGTTTTACATCAACTACCATTTGAACAAAAAGTTCAGATAAATAAGTGAAAATATTAAAGTTTGCAGCACATATTTGAAGATGTAATCAAATGTAGTCAAAGGGGAGCAACCGTGCATAGTAGAAAGTATTAGGGGTGGAGATCTGGTTCTGTTTGGAGAGAACCCTGGGACCTTGGGCAAGCTGCCTCATCTGGGAGGTCAGTTGTCTCATTTTTAAATTCAGGAAAAAGGAAGAGAAACATTAACAATTCTTCAATGTCTGTAATGTGCTCGCTTTTATTACTCTTATTAAACCATTTTCAGGCCTGCTATTGAATAGAATTCATTATTTTATTACACTGGTATTATAGGGCCTTTCTGGCTGATAGGTTCCTGGTAGCATCGAGATCTTTATTTGAAGACTTCCATTATCTTCATTATGCCCGGAAGTTACTAAATCAGAGATTAGCATTTTTAGAGCACATATAAGCCTGAGAGGTAGGCAAGGAAGAGAAAGAAGAAAGTATGAGAACAGAGAGAGGGAGAGAAAGAAGAGAAAGAAAGAGAAAGAAACTGAGACACTGGCTTGGATATAGCTGAGTGTGGCCATATTTTGTCACATGCTTGCTGGGATAAACTTCTCTAGTTTTGAGAAATGAGAATAGGAATGATAATTTTTTTTTTTTTAATCCTCACCCGAGGATATTTTTTCCATTTTTTTGTACAGATAGAGTGGGAGGGAGGGAGAGGAAGGGAGAGAGAGAGAGAAACATCGACGTGAAGGGACACATCGAGTGGCTGCCACCCGCACGACCAACCAAGGCTGGGGACAAACTGCAACCAAAGTACGTGCCCTTAGCGGGAACCGAACCTGGGTCTCTCCGGACCGCAGGCTGACGCTCTAACCGCTGAGCCAAACTGGCCAGGGCAGGAATGATAATTTTAAGAAATTAACTCTTTATTGTAAAAGCAGTGATGTCTGGTATATTACTAGTGAATAGAATACCCCTCCATGGTATTATCTGAGAAGAAAAAAGTAAATTGGAGATCACTTAGTCTGGGAAATGTTTGTTTCTGTTTTCTCATTCCCACCTTAAACACTGAAACTGTTTCCTCCTTTGCACTGTCACTAATGATTTTCTTGTTTCAAATGTCAACATACCAATTGTAACATACTGTGTGAGTCAGACCCACATGTAAGTTGCCATAATAATAGCAAGTTTTAGAAGATTACAGTAGTTTAACCTTTAACAATTTTGTAATAGTTTAAGATGTTACAATGAAACAATAAAATAGTTCTGTATTTCATCCTGCCAGTGTGGCTCAGTGGTTGAGCATTGACCCCATGCACCAAGAGGTTGCTGGTTCGATTCCCAGTCAGGGTACATACCCAGGTTGTGGGCCTGATCCCCAGTGGGGAGCATGTAGGAGGCAGCCAGTTGACATTCTCTGTCATCTATGTTTCTGTCTCTCTCTCCCTCTTTCTTCCTCTCTCTCTAAAATCAATAAAGAAGAAAATTTTTTAAAATATAGTTCTGCATATCTTAAAAAGCATTTATGAACTCAGAACAAAATCTGATTTCTAAGTAGTTTCTTCAGGTAGTTTGCTGTCATTATCATGTCTCTGTGGTTCCACTCTTCTGAAAACAGCTTTGGGCAAATTGAGAGGTCAGTTTGATTTCCACATAGGTTTTCA